AACCATCCCTCGGCAGACGGTATACCGTGGTACAATTGCCAATTGGTACATGGTATAGCATGCCGTACATTTTACTTTATTTTTCATTTTAATTGTAAACATATGTATACATTTTATATTTCTTTGATTTACCCTTAATAAAAAAACCTAGACTGACCGTTTTGTCTGTGACCTGGCATGACTTTGCAAGCTCTCATTCCTAAACATCCCTCTTCTAACTATATTTCGCACCACTTATTTCTATATTTCCGGCAATTCCGCTACGCACATTGACCCAATTTTATTTATTATCTTTTTAATACCAATTAAGGTCTTGACAAATATTGTAAGATCAAGCCCATCAATGAAACCTCCAATAGATTTGACCATATATAAACGTTAGTTTGTTTATTAATATCTTTTTCTCTGTTTGCCCTTCATTTAAACTAATTACACACGAAGAAGCATTTAACCTAGAAAAAGAGCGTGTATATGCGGACTTAAAGTATCGCCGAGTTAAGACCTGCTAAGCCGCGGCGGCACGAGGTGAAATCAAAACCAGCCCGGCTGACTTTCATCCCGGGCGAACCAGGATCTTCCGCCCTTTCATCCTTTCACAGGACACCTTGGGTCCTTTTATTTTTCTCTCCCCTCGCCAACAATTGAATTAGCCTGTTATGAAACTGCGGTTTAAATTATAATTCCGGACTCCTAGGACGTGGAGATTTGTTGTTTAAGTTTAAAATTAGCATTTAAAATTTTCAACGTCGTGTCGTCTGGCCGTATGACGAAAGTTGGTAACTTTCAAAAGCCAGTTTGTCCTTTGGCCTGGTTTTAAACTACCCGGAAGATATGCTATTCCGTATGTTCTGCATACAATGTGTGACTTGTGGATTTTATGCTTAAGATCAAAGCTTTATAAACAGAGGATCTGTGAGCAAAAGATTACATTTCTAAAACGCAACATGACCCACCGACATTTACTCTGTTTAACAATTATTGTTGAGAGTTATGAGAGAAGAGGCTGTTCGTGTTCTCCATACTCGGTCCGGTTCACCTCGTGTCAACTTGTCCATTTCACTTTTCTGTAAGCCGTTGTTCCATTGGCTATTCACAGTCAACTGGGGCAAACTTACAGAACTAAGAAACTTGACGGCTCGGGGTGGTCGGACTTGTTTTTTGATTAGCCAAGCTCATGAACATATTCAATCGGCAGGTATTGAGTCTTTTAAAAAGAAAAATATAAAGGTTTTTAAAACAAAATTTTAACAAGAAGTTACGGTCTGTAAAAAAAAAAGCCGGCAGAAAAATTCGGCCAAGGCTGAGGTTTGCGAGAAGAAGATCGGACCACCTGCGGCTAGATTGTGCTTCGCCGGCTCACTTCCATTTTCAAGAAAGTAAAACCCGACTTTCATCCAAATAGTCCAGATCTGACCGTCTCGCCGGGCTGCAGATTGCAACTTTTCCTCCGACACCGGTGAAAATAAAAAGGAGTGAAAAAAGTAATCCGGGACTGGGACGTGTCTCCCGGTTGGGGGCGGCCGCGGTCCCTCTTTCTTTCGACTCGTCGAAACGAAGCCGGGTCACCCGATTTGGAGGGCACGTCTGGAATTTTTACAGACACCTGTCTTTAACTTTCTCCCTGACGGGGTGCTTCGGTTCTACTTTTGCCAGGACAGCCCTGAGAATCGGCTAGGTCACGACTATTGGACATCTTTCACTATCGTACATGACTGAATTCACGGAGCATTGAATGTTAAATTTAACTTTAAAAAGTTTTGGTTTAATCTTCTTGCACAGCATTAAAGAGAAACGAAAAAGATAAGGTTTCCTCTAGGAGCCAGAAAGGCTTCCCTACCCGAGCAATCGCTAAAAAGTAGACGCAGTTGAAAAGTTAAAAACACTACAGAAAACGGCATAGTAGTTTCTAAAAAAAATGGTCAGGTAACGTACGGTTGTGAAAACGGATAGTTCATGATGATATAAAAAAGATAACAAGTGGGGTGAAAAAATTAATGGTTGATAACAAATAGTTAGCAATTAGTATTAATTACAATGAATTAGCGGGATTTGAACCCACGATCTTCGGCTTGATATGCTGCTGCTCTACCACTTGAGCTATCGTGACCTCGATCCACTCGGACACCAACTTCCTATCTCCAAAAATGGCAAAAGGAGGGAAAGCTCAAAAGGTGGGGTTGAGATAAGAAGTTGGTGTCCGAGTGGATCGAGGTCACGATAGCTCAAGTGGTAGAGCAGCGGCTTATCTAGCCGAAGATCGTGGGTTCGAATCCCACTCGTGCCATTGACTTTTTTATCCTAACTAAAAACCTTAATTAATTGTAATATATTAATTGGTCATGCGGACCACAAAATTAGTGAATTTAAGGAATTAGTATTAATAATGGCTAGAAAAGTTATGGTTAGTGATGGTAATTAAGTAGTTAGCGATATTAGGATAAGGATGGCTAATGGTGGTTAGGAAAGGGGTGACCAATAATAGAGAGATGGTTAGTTGTGGTGAGAAAGTACGGTATAGAGATGGTTAGTGATGGTAATGAATGGAGTGGTTAATAAGTTTACGGTGGAGTTGGCCAGTAGTCCGGAGGACCAAATATTCGAACTTGCCGAGGATATTCACAGAACATTGGACATCGGAAAGAGCTCGCGGGAAAACACCGATGAATTATCGATCTTCGAAGCCAGAGTTTCCCAACTCAATAGCACATTTGAGAAGTTTGTTTTGTTGATCGCTGAAATACGGAAACAGATGATAAAGGATAAAATGCCTTATGACGAATACACGAAATTGAAGGCTAAGGTGCAAACTGAGTACTATGACACTCTAGCCTTGTCAATAAAACGGGATAGCCCTTCTTCCAACACATTTTGGTCCTCCGGGCCGGATTTCTGATCTTCCTTGTCTCCTCACGCTTCTCAAGATATTTCTACCTTTTCCCCGTTGGCCTTTTTACGCAAGCTAGCCTTAACATAGGTTTTGATTTTCATTGATTTTGATTCTGACGCCGGTTTACAACCAACATGCCTAAAAGGTCGGATGATCAAGATCCGGATATCGAAAGCATGGATAAGGAAGGAAATGGTTAGTTGTACTGAGGAACTGTGTCGTATAGTGATAAAAGGAGGATTAATAAAGCAAAGAGAGAGATAGGAAGAGAGGGGGGAAAGAGAGAGGGAGAGTAATGGCGAGTATGGTAAGGAAAGAGATGGTTAATTGTGGTGAAAAAAAGTATGGTATGGTGATGGTTAAGCAAGATGGTTAAAAAGAATGGTTACTGATGGTTACGAATGGAATGATTAATAAAGCCGAGAGAGAGAGAGAGAGAGAGAGAGAGAGAGAGAGAGAGAGAGAGAGAAAGTGAGAGAGAGAGTGAGAGATATGGCGAGTATGATAAGGAAAAGATGGTTAGTTGTGGTGAGAAAAAGTGTGGTATAGTGACGGTTATGAAAGGAGTGATTAATAAAGCTAAGAGAGAAGAGGGAAAGAGATGGGGAGAGGGAGTGAAAGAGAGAGGGGGACGGAGATGGCGAGTATGATAAAAAAAATAAATGGCAAAAAGGAGGGAAAATTCAAAAGGTGGGGTTGAGGTGGGAAGTTGGTGCCGGAGTAGATCGAAGTCATGATAGCTCAAGTGGTAGAGCAGCGGCGTATTAAGCCGAAGGTCGTGGGTTCGAATCCCGCTCGTGACACTGACTTTCTTAAATACCTTTCATAAATATTGTGTATAAAAGTGTTAATTAGTGATTAGAAATGGCAAGGAAATTGGTATTGTCGTTTAGGTAAAATATGGTAGGTGATGTAAGAAACTGGTTGAGAAAGAGTAAATTAATGGTTTTGTTGCTTTTCAAACAAACATTGTATAATGATTTTCACATAACGTAACATTTGTAAGTAGTTTGAAGTAAAAGGAGGAAAATTCCAAGGGCAAAGGTGGGATTCGAAACCAAGAACCCCGATGGTAAATCGAGACCCTTTTAAGCATTTTTATTCCTTTGGGCTTTTAAGACTTAAATTGGCAACTTTTTTAAAGCTCTTGGGAATAAATTGTTGATGTTTTTATCTAAAAGTTTTGAAGTGGGAACAAAAACAACGTTGTAATATTTAAGTGCTCCATTAAGATTTTTTCGTTAAATTTGCATTTTTTCATTAAAATGTTGTGAACGGCTGGGTAGAAATTTGGGGTAAAATGACCCATATCAGTTCCTTATAATGTTAAATTAGGCCGATGGTAAAGTGGCGTTTTACGGTTTCTCGCTTATCTCACTTATTTATGCTAAACGGGGCCGTAATAACAATTTTTAATACGAGTTTTAACAATAAACAATATCTTGCGCCTAGTTGGGCAAATTTGATTATAAAAGCGCAATTCCCCTTTTTTTGACAAAATAGTAAACATGATATTATTTTGGATTATTATGACGCTTCGTTTAATTTACAGTTGTATTGACCATTTAATCGGATTGCGGACAACCTAACCAACAAATTCTAACCAGGAGCTTAAAAGTAAACAAACACATTTTTATGTTTATTTTTCATGTAGATACGCGATGCTACTCGCCGATGTAATGGTCTAATGTAAGGTCCACATTATTCACGCGAAGGAAATAATAACAGGCGCAGTGTGCCAATTATGGAAAGTAAGTCCTTGTAGTCGAAGGTTCGTAACTCTCTCCTTCTTAGATTAACAGTTTTTTTTCTTATATCGAGTTTATTCATCCAGAAATTAGCTTAAATTATACAGTAGCGTTAAAATATCTCGATAACAAAACATAAGGGTCTTGCAATTACTGAAAGGTAATTGCGGAATAAATTCTTAAAACCTGGACATTAATAAATATATAAATAAATGTGTTTGTCCCTTTTACAAAATTAAACCAAGGCGACTTACAATTTCTTTTTTGTCTAATTGCCCAATGTGCCATAAAACCTTTATGCACCTTTCTACTAACTTATTTGTATTCTAAGTTGTTATACGATTTGATTTGTTTCATTTTTACAGAGAATACTCGTCAAAAATGGTTCGGCGAAGCTCGAAGGAAGAGGGAAAATGACCCGTCCCTTGCATCGATTTTGTGATTTAATTTCGACACCTTGGGGGCCGACGGGGAAAACCTATAATCAAAAAAAGGTGAGAGGTCTTTTTGCATCTAGTAGATAAACCAGAGCAGTGACAAATTTAAATTAAGGCTGAGTTTTTTTGCAATTACCCGTCCAATGTCGATTATCCTTGTGGCTGATTGTTACTACTGATGGTTAATAAAAAATGGAAAGTAACAGTTAAATAACTTGTGATAGTTAAAAATGTCTAATGATTGTTACAGAAAAGATGAATAGATATGATTTGATTGGTGATATGGTTGAACTGATACGGTTCAAGAAGGGAGAGTTAGTGATGGTTAGGAAAGGATGGGGGACAGGGCTAAACAGTGAGTGATATTTACAAAAGGGATGGTTATGTTGATTAAAAAGGAACAACTAACAATGGTTAAAAGATGACTATTTATAGTTAGAAATGGATGGTTCAAAAAGGGATGGTTAGTGATGGTTTAAAAAGGGATGGTTAGTGATGGTTTAAAATGGGATGGTGAGTGATGTTTACAAAAAAAGATGACCAGTGATGGTTCAAAGATGACTAGTTACGATTAGAAAGAGATGGTTAGTGATGGTTTAAAATGGGATGGTGAGTGATGTTTAGAAAAAAAGATGACCAGTGATGGTTCAAAGATGACTGGGTACGATTAGACAGAGATGGTTAGTGATGGTTTAAAATGGGATGGTGAGTGATGCTTAGAAAAATGATGACCAGTGATGGTTCAAAGATGACTAGTTACGATTAGACAGAGATGGTTAGAAAAGGGATGGTTAGTGATGGTTTAAAATGGGATGGTGAGTGATGCTTAGAAAATTGATGACCAGTGATGGTTCAAAGATGAGTGGTTACGATTAGACAGAGATGGTTAGAAAAGGGATGGTTAGTGATGGTTTAAAATGGGATGGTGAGTGATGCTTAGAAAAAAAGATGACCAGTGAGAGTTCAAAGATGACTAGTTACGATTAGACAGAGATGGTTCGGAAAGGGATACTTAGTGGTGATTACGAAAGGAATGAGTATGAATGAAAGCAAGGTAGGCTAGTTTGGACTGATACGGCTCTAAGGGATTGTTACCGATGCTTAAAAGTGTATAGTTAGTGATATTTAAAGAAAAATACTAACTAGTGATTATTAAAAGATGACTAGTAATGGTTAGAAATAGTTGGTTTAAAATAAGTGTGTGAAAAAATATGTTTAGTGGTGGTTCGTAACCGGATGGTTATTACGATTAGAAAAGAGATTGGTTTTATTCGTAATTGATAGATTTGAGACCGTTTTAAAATCTGATGATTACTCACGATTATAAAACGGGTATGCAGTGAAGGTTACTAGTTATATAAACGGTACGGAAAGTTATTAGTGATAGTTAGAAAAGACGTAGTTATAATAGTACGAAAGGGATGCGAAGAAGTATGATTAGTGATAGGATGAATGGGGACGGATCTTAAAGAGATGGTAAGAAAACGGGATAAGCGAGAAGGTATGACTAGTGATTGTTGGAACAGAAATGGTTCCAGAAATGATGGTTAGAGATGGTAAGGAAGAAATGGTTACGATGGTTAGAAAATTTATTAGTACACAATATACGACTAATGATGACGGTTTTGTCATTAAGAGATTGTTAGAAATAAGAATGAGTAGGGAAGATATCACTTGTGAAGGTTTGGGCAGAGATGGATCTCGAAGGGATGGCTAGTGTTGTTTATAAACGTGTGGTATATGGGAAAAGGCCAGTAACCATCTACTGACAGAAATAAACCAACCGTTGCTGAAGGTTCTCGAAGGAATGATAATGCCATATGGCTACTTAATGGTAAGAAAGAAATACTAAGGTTTTTTGATTAAAAAAGAGATTGTTATTATCAGCGATTCTAGGGGTGGTTGGAAAAAGATGATTAGAAAATAGAATACTTAAAAGTGGGGATAGTTATGTTTCGTGATCGTTAGATAAATGATATTAATGGTTTAGTAAAAGGGGTAGGGATAAGGAGAAAAGAGGCGGACACAAGGCCTTCTGTACCTCCACCTGAGTAGATCTATTGTGCTCCCTTCTTTTTTATAACTCACTGGCCAGTTTCAGGTTGTTAATCAACCTCCATAGCCTTGCCAGCGGCTCCTTATTGTAGGATCTTGCTTGTGGTTTTTCCTGCCCTAGTTGCAAGAACCTGAACCAACACCTTCACAGAAACATAAAATGGGTTCTGTGGGACTCTACATGGCAGTATATGCACAGTGTTTCTTCTATCGGCGCCTATGCGATCCATTTGCTTTAAGTGGCAGCGAGTCCAAGCAGAATGCTGGTTCGGTTACGATTGCCTTCCAGCCATTCCTCATTCTTTGTGGGTTTTGCGGATGGCCCTTCTATAAATCTCTTCGTGTGCGTCATGCCTGTGGTTCCAGGTTTTGGACTCATTAAAATCCATTTAAAGACTTATCGTAAAAGGACTTTTAGCATGATCCATTTTCACAGGTGAATGACTTTTTCACTTAAGTCGGTAATGTTTGGCTCAAACATGAAAATCTAAACGTGTCAAGGCGGAGCCCCAGAGATATTTTACTTCGTGTACTTCCATTCGTGATGTTTGCGTTGTTCAGTTCAAATGGCGCACAGTTGGTAAAATATGTATTTCGTGCATAGAGGAAAAGCAAGAGGGCTATCAGATATCTTATTGTAATGATACATATTGACAACCGTCTCTTTGAGTCTTTCACTTTCGTAATAAAAATTTTAAAGTTTCTCTCTGTAAATTTCTAATTGGGACCGTATTTTCCAATTAATCGAAGGGGTTTTTAATTGCCATTTGATTACGCCGAGACGAGAGTCCCAGAGAAGAAAGAAGAGCGGGAAATAAAAAGTTGTTTGCGATTCTCGTTAACTCGAAGGCCTGGAGTATTCTTAAGTGGTGATTTCGGGAAGGGGGTTTAACGACCATTGTCTAACGACGTCCTTCAATTAGCGTGATTTCTAAAAAACAGTCGTTAATTAAATATATTGGCTTTTTCTTATTGTGACGTATCTGGTTTCAATCCTGACGAGGTGCAATTACAAGCTTTACAACCTTTGGTAACGTACATTTACAAAGACAAAAAGTAAATATGTTGACTGTTTGTCGTCCTTTGGCCAATGTCATATCCATTTGGTTGGATTCGACAGTTTCAGCTTCCACGAATCGGATCGATTCGTACGTGGCCGCCTGGAAATGGGTCTATTCGACGGGAATGCCGTTGTAAAAAGAAAACCGGCTGAATTAGTTATCATCCGAGGTGGTAAATGTTTTCCGTATCGATCCGTTCAGAAAATACCAACCGACTTGGACGGAAAAGGTCGCCGACGCCGGGATGCGCATCGTCGGATCCACGTTACTTTCTTTTTCGATATCGAGCGTCCAGGCGAGCTTTTCACGACTCACGACAAAGCAGATCGGGATCTTTGTTAATACCTTTCGGATCCGGGCATTCACCTGATATAATGTGAATTTCGGCTTTGCCTGCATAACAAGTATGGCAAACAAGCGAGAAATTACCGACGCCAATTTCAAGGTCCAATACATTATAGATCAAATTTTACAAAACATAGATACTCTAAGAAATAGTACCAAAAGCAATAATTGATTTTAGGGTTCTACTAGGTAGCATGTTAGCACCCACTACTACCACTTGCACGACTTGCAATTAAAGAGTTTCATATTTATCTATTAAGTTTGAAAACGAATAGATTGTACATAAAATTTACCTCATGGAGTTCCACAAGGCAACATAATAGCACCCAGTCAACTACCAAATAACGATAACATCTCCTACCATTTATGACTATTCTTGCACCAAACTGCCTGGTTTTGTAATTTAAAGTACAATACTTCTTTACTAAGTTTAAAAAAATGAACTGGCATGTGTCATCTACCTTCGTGGAGTGCTACAAGGCAACATGCTAGCACCCAGTCAACTACCAAATAACGATAACATCTCCTACCATTTAAGACTATTCTTGCACCAAACCGCCTGGTTTTGAAATTTAAAGTACAATAATTATTTATTAAGTTTTAAAAAATGAACTGGCATGTGTCATGGACCTTCGTGAAGTTCCACAAGGCAACATGCTAGCACCTACTTTATTAATGAACACCCATGACATCGTCTACCATTTACAATATAAGACTATTCTTGCGACAAAACAAGTTTCTGGCTTGTAATTATAAGCTCAATACTCAATAATAAAGATATATAATCAATCTTCATGGAAGAGCACAACTTACGATCGTATTTATGTAATCAATCTTCATGGAGTTCGACAAGTAACCGTACTGCCACCCACTTTATACCCAACACCGATGACATCCCTTAATATTTACATTCGAAGACTATTCTTCCAAAAAAAAGAAAAAAAACCAAGGTATAGACTTGTTTATATAAGCCTGTACAATCAATCTCCATGGATATGTTTTGTAATTCAAAGTACAATACTTATCTACTAAGCTTTAAAAAAATGAACTGGCATATGTAATCTACCTTCGTGGAGTTGCACAAGGTAACAGGCTAGCACCTACTTTACTAATAAACACCGATTAGAATCACCTACCGCAAACCACAAGGTACCACAGAATTTAGAACCAAACACTGATGACATCCCTTACTATTTACATTTGAAGACTATAAAGAGACTTGTTTTTATAAGCCTATAAAATCGTATATGTAATCAACTTTCATGGACTTCTACAAGGCATCGTGCTTGCACCCATTCTACTAACAAATCCTGCTCAAATACCGTTCTCTTTAAAAAGTTTTGTCTGTCTTCTTCTTCGTTCTTTGTAATTGCAAATTTACAAACAAATGTAAAATCTGTAGGTCAATTAGTAAAAAAAAAAGAGCAAGAACTTAAGGACCAAAAACGACATCATTAAATCATACCTGGCGACTTATTCAACTCTTAGTATCTTCTAGCCGGCACATACAATGCTAAGATCATTTCCACGGCCTTATTGATAATATTTGAAAACAATGGATTGTATTTCATAGTTTTCATTTTTGCTTACTCTGCT